TTGAGCCTTGAAGCAGTCAAGCATGGACACACTATATCAGCTGTTGGAGTGGAACCCTGTACAGGTAGGCTCTACTTTTCAGCAGGCACAAGATTCATGTCCACTTCTAGCTGATTGCGTATGTCGCATACTCTTTTTCTACTGCAAGGCTAAAACAGTCCAGCTAGCTCTGACAACTTAAAGGAAAACTACGGTGCCATGTACTTACCTAATCCAGTGTGTTTCACACTTCAGAGAAGGTAATCTCATAGCTACTAAATACAGTGAGGGAGCAATAGCTGACTCACCTCAAGTACAAAATCAAAGCGATAATGTACCTCGGCTGGAGACTGTACTTTTCGCAGGCGGAGATACCATGTACCGGCGCTCACTAGCTCTTTAGGGCCTGAGCAAAATCAAACTAAAAAGGGAAAGCGGCTTTTTCTCTACAGAGACCTATAAAAGAATCAAACGACACTCGCGTAACAAAGAACTAAAAATTCAAGACCGCACAAATGCAATTAATTAAAATGCCTTGCAAAATGCAAGGAGCGTACGGTCCGAGGAATAATCTTCTCGTGACGTGGTCTCGACCGCTTTCATGCACAGACAAAATAAAACTGCATCAAAAGGACTCTCTTTCACATTCACATCAAAAACATAAGAAGGAGATACCGGCAAATGTATGTACAAAAATCTTGCACTACAATTGCAAATCATGAAATGACTTAATCATCAACCATGACTGGTTGTCCATTAGAGGTCACTTCATCAGAGCGGTGGTGATAGATATCATCAGTTCTGTAAAACTGTCCATACCTATCTACATGCTAAAGCATATAAACCTGGAATGCAGGAGTATCTTCTTTGATAAAAAGTTTCTCCTAGTTGCAAACCAGAATTCATTAAAACTTCAGCCTGGCAACTTAAAGTCAAGCTTGGAAGCAAAGTATCAACTGTAACCAGAAGTATCTTCACTTCCTAGCCATCATTTAAATTTCAGCCTTCGCTCAGGAATTATGCCGCTGCAAACGATGAAGTTGCTTGATCAGAAGTTGGCGGCCTTCCTTTCTTTCTATTCTGCTTCTGTCTCTCCTTCCTCCGCACGTTCGCCTCATGAAGCGTTGCTCCCATGCGATACTGTCTTCTGTCTCCAGATGAAAAGGAAGCTGGTCTGAGTGAAATAAACATTGGACCATGACTGTCCTCGTCAGTGGGCCTTGAGCACATAACCTCTGTGTCAATCATAGCAAAGTTCTCTGAAAAATTACAGATGAACTCCTTCGTGCTCACTGTGGAATTTTCATATTCCTCTTCACTCATTGAATGACCCCATTCAACAATGGTAGACAAACATGTATCGCCAAGCTGTGATCCTTGGTATTCTTCTTTTTCAACAGTAGAATATTCTTCCCAGAGTTTATCGAAGTAAACTTCACACTTCTTGAGGACCTGTGAAGTTGAACTGTAAAATGTTCTGGGAATAGGTGCTTTGATACCAGGATCTGCTTTTACACGAGCTTCTGAAAACCTGCGGATCCAATGCTGCATGGTGCTGTAATAGTAGTTAGCCATTGGCTGCCTTTTGTACCCAGACATTCTGTAGGCCAAACTATTTGCATCACCAGAAATGATGTCCACCTCATAGACAAAACACTCGTAAAGCATCAATGCTGTCTGTTCTCCTGTCAGTAGGTGGGCATCCACAGCACGGTGTGTATCAACATGATAATTACAGACTCTGATGGTATGCATGTTCGCTCGAGTAAGTGGAACACGCTTGTCCTCAGGACCATAGTCATCAAATTCAAAGTCTGCATCCTTGAAATCTTGACGAGGCCTTGTTTCTCCAAAACAAATCTCGTAGATAGCCCAAGTTACATCACGCTGTTCACAGTGACCAAGTTCTTGATCATGTCCAGCAATGATCTTGACATATCCACCTGGTGCCAATCTAGCCATCACTGCAAGATTCTCCCAATCATTGAAACAAACTGTCCAATTCTTTTGCTCAATAAATTCCTTGGCAGGAACAAGAAGATGAGCTTCCTGGAGAATCACGACATGTGCACGTAGAAAGAAGAGCATGTTGAAGAAAAGGTTGTTCTCAAATTGCTCATTTTGAAGTGACATGGCGCTCTGTTTGCGTGGCCTCATTGCACTATCAAGTCCTTGGAGAAACCTTGGTGTGGTGTACTTCTGACCACGAACCATGTTGCCATAGTTCCAGGATAAAAATGTCAAGGACTCTGAGCTGGCCAATAAGTTAGTTCCATATGGTTCTTCTATTCTTCCCTTGAGGAACCTTCTGCACAGCTCTTCATAGAAGGTGACAAAGTCCCAACTGGGTCCCTTGGGACCATATGATTCCAGTTCCTTCTTGAGTTCCTTCTTCGTCTCCTCCAATTCTTCTCGAGCATGTCCTGCCCTTTCAAGGGCCTTTGGATCGACCTGATACTTGCCATCCAAATAAATGATGCGATCATCATTGATGAAGAATCTCTTCAAATCATGCTCTGGTTCATGTTCATAACAATCAGGTGGAGGTACTGGACAGACATTACGAATGGATCGAACAAAATCATTCTCGTTGATCCTTGACTGATAATGAGGATGGGAAATCTCACCTTTTCTGAAACAAACATGATTCAGCAATCTTGCGTGAGTTTCCCTGAAGCATAGTTGATAAAGGCCAATACCTGGATCTCCTGTAAGCTCTCCAAGCAACTTCAAAGGTGAAGTATGCAGCTCATAGGTATTGTCAACCTTTGTTGTATCCTTTTCAACAACTACTTCAGATGGAAAAGATTCTTGGATTTCAGCCTCCAATTTCTTCTCTCCATCATCCTCTCTGACCTCTTTTATTTTCTCCACCGCCTCTTTCTTCTCTTCCATGGTTGCATCATCCTGAACTTCTTCATGAAAATGAGGATCAGGAATCTTATTTAGGCGGCTCTTCTTAGATTTCCGCTGACCTGAAGTATCATCAAGGTTAGCATCCATCTCACCTGATGGTAAGTGCGATGCAGTCGAGTCCTCACCTATCTCTCTTGACAGAAAGTGTGGTGTTGACTCTTCCTTGGCTTCCTCCTGGTCCACTTCCATCTTTGGTTCCTCTGAAGGAAAAACACCTGCATCTTCATCAAATATTTCTTGTTCCTTTCCAGGTTCAACTGCAGGATCTTCTTCAGGAACTTCCTCTTCCATATTCTCATCTTCTAGAAGTGTCCTACTTCCAGTATAGACTTCACCAGCGATAGTGGAGACTCTTGTATAAGGAGGAACTTCTTCACCTGCTTCAAAAGCTTGTTCTGCAACATCCTTGGTGAGCAAGTCCTCTACAAGATTTTCTCCCTCGGTTCTTGGAAGAGGTCCTGAGGTCTCATAGAAATCTGTCCTCTCTGAACTGAAAGCTTCTGTCGCCATTGTCCTTTTGATCCCTGAACAGGTGAGTAATCTTCACAGCTTCTCCCTGTAGCACCTGATCACCTCCTCTATACTTGTCGACAATGGAGCGCCATACTGGAACATCATCATCATCAAAATCAAGCTCCATATCATCTGCCAGCAAGTTTGAGATGTTTTGAGCTGCCTGTTCTTCTTCTTCATCACGTTCTCTGGCAAGCTCCTCATCCTTCTGAATCTTGAAGATACCCTTCAGGATGTCTTGTAGTACCTTTAAGTTCAGCTTCGATGATGGCTCATACGTCCCTGAACTTACAGGCTCAACTACAACACGAGAGCAAGAAATCGCCTCCAAAAACTTGGAATTGTATTGGCGTTCAAACTCTTCCTTCTTGATCATCTCATACAAGGGATCAGAAACTGCAACACGCGCCTGAACATACTCACGAAGTTGATAGCATGCATGTTGCACAAATCTACTGTTGGAGTTGTGAAGAAAACTCTCTAAATGATTCCTGTCACGGTCAATCAAATACCACACAATCCTTGCAGAAAAACGGAATTTCTTGAAGTTCATAGCAAAATGTGTATGATACTTCTCTGGATTCCTTTCTGCTTGTAAGGCGGCCTCTGAAGTCTTGTAGGCTGGGAGATTTGTGTCTGGATCCAAAATCATAAACTCTTCCCACAAGATCGAGTGGTCAAGAACCCACTTGGGAAGCACCTTGATGAAAAAGTCACAAACAAGTTCTGACACAAGGTGCATGACACGACCAATCTCTTCCTCCTGCTTGAAGCGATAGTGCAATTTGGCAAACAAGGGATTGTTGAATGCTTCCTCCACTGTGTTGCCAAAATTATCCCACTGAGGTTCTGGAATACCAAAGTTCCAACCCAGCAATTTGGGATCTCTGCACATATCCAAGAAGCTTGAAAGCTCTACCGAAGCAATGCCATGGTCTGTCAGAATTTCAGCCCAGCGGCGTCCATTCTCCCAAGCACGGATG